CACTGTAGGAGATGGGCTAATGGATGGGCGGGGAGGGGGCCAATATGATGGGGGGGCTTGGGTGTGCGTTGCACGCCTGTAATCAGGCTTAGGACCGCACGAGGGGGTCCTGGATACAGACGGCTTAGCGAGTCCTGATCCGGCTCCTGGTTGGACCACAATTGCTGTGGTGTCATCGCCCTGCTGATGGCGGCTAATTGGAATTGAAGTACTTTCACAGAGCAATCCCAGTGAATGGATGATGTGGCCTTGGGGGCGGAGTCACACTGAATGTAAACCACTTACAGTAAGGCCCCGTTCCTGTTTTTGTGTGGTTTTTTTATTGACTTGAAAGGCTGTTCTATGCATGACAAGCGACCCAAAGAGGCTCCAAAACGTTATCTGGGAGTGGAAGGGAAAGCGTTTTTTCACTGCGCGTTTTCAGTGTGGCAAAATGTGTGCCTGCTACCGGTGCTTGGGGTTCCATTAACAATGAACACATGTTTGTTCTGCATCCCAAGTGGACACCATTGATCTTTCCAGTTTCTTAGGTTTACTGTCCCCACATGGAAAAGAGATATATATTTCCAATATATTTGGAAAAAAAAAATCTATATTTAGAATGTTTATTGTATTTTAACACGTATTTTAAAAAATGTCAGTCAAAATATATTTTCTAAAGGCATTTATTTAAATATATATGTGTTTTTAAATATATTCTTCAGATTTTTTTTAACATATAAAAAAGTAATTTTAACATATATTTGGAAATGCGTTCCAAAAAATGTAGATTAAATGTATTTTCAAAGACATATATTTGGAAATGTATTTTTAAAATATTTTTCATATTTTTTAATATATAAAAACACATTTCAGCGTACAGTAAATATATATATATATATGGCACGGGTATATACAGTATATACCACAGAAGTGACATCAGACCCCACATGTGATACTACCCATGTGGAAGGAAAATATATATAAAAAAAAAAATAAATAAATAAATAAAATATATATATATATTTAAAATCTATTGTTCTTCCACATGGGTAGTATCACATATGGGGTCTGATGTCACTTCTGTGGTATATACTGTATACGGTGAGCTGCCACATACAGGCTACTTGCTCAAGTAATAACTTTGCATTTCGGGCTTTTTTTAGCGCATTTTGTTCCACAGCAAAACACACGGCAACACGCGTGTCATTAACGGTTAATGGCACCACAACTACGACCTGCAATTGCAGCGCATTTCTGAAATGTGCGCCAAAATGCTCAGTTGTGTGGGGTTTGCGGCACGCTTAGGAAACATGCAATTGCGAACGCAGTTTTAGGGCCGATTCACACCATAGAAACGCAGTCCGGATGCGTTTCCGCCTGAGCGGTTTTACGCGTTTGGCACGTTCCGATGCGTGTGACATGTTCTGGTTCGTTTTTTTTTCCCCCTTTTTTTTTCTTCAATTTAAATAGGGACATTGCGTTCCGGTGTGCTTTTGGTCCGTTCCGGTGTGTTTGTGGTCCATTCCGGTGTGTTTGTGGTCCGTTCCGGTGTATTTTTGGTCCATCCCGGTGTGCTTTTGGTCCGTTCCGGTGTGTTTGTGGCCCGTTCCGGTGTGCTTGTGGTCCGTTCCTGGTGTGTTTTTGGTCCGTTCCGGTGTGTTTGTGGCCTGTTCCGGTGTGTTTGTGATCCGTTTCTGTGTGTTTGTGGTCCGTTCTGGTGTGTTTTTGGTCCGCTCCGGTGTGTTTTTGGTCCGTTCCGGTGTGTTGGTGGTCTGTTCCGTTGTGTTTTTGGTCCATTCCAGTGTGTGTTTTTGGTCCGTTCCGGTGTTGTGGTCAGTTCCGGTGGTGTGTTTTTGATCCGTTCCGGTGTGTTTGTGGTCCGTTCCGGTGTGTTTGTGGTCTGTTCCGTTGTGTTTTGGTCCATTCCAGTGTGTTTTTGGTCCGTTCCGGTGTTTGTGGTCAGTTCCGGTGTGTTTTTGCTCCGTTCCGGTGTGTTTGCGGTCTGTTCCGGTGTGTTTGTGGTCTGTTTCGGTGTGTTTTTGGTCCGTTCCGGTGTTGTGGTCCGTTCCGGTGTGTTTGTGATCCGTTTCTGTGTGTTTGTGATCTGTTCCGGTGTGTTTTTGGTCCGTTCGGTGTGTTTGCGGTCTGTTTCGGTGTGTTTGTGGTCTGTTTCGGTGTGTTTTTTGGTCCGTTCCGGTGTTGTGGTCCGTTCCGGTGTGTTTGTGATCCGTTTCTGTGTTTTTGTGTCTGTTCCGGTGTGTTTTTGGTCCGTTCCGGTGTGTTTGCGGTTGTTCCGGTGTGTTTGTGGTTGTGGTTTCGGTGTGTTTTTGGTCCGTTCCGGTGTGTTTGTGGTCCGTTCCGGTGTGTTTTTGTGATCCGTTTCTGTGTGTTTTTGTGATCTGTTTCCGGTGTGTTTTTGGTGTTCCGTCCGTGTGTTTGTGTTTGTGTCTCTGTTCCGGTGTGTTTGTGGTCTGTTTCGGTGTGTTTTTGGTTGGTTCCGGTGTTGTGGTCCGTTCCGGTGTGTTTTGTGATCCGTTTCTGTGTGTTTGTTGTGGTCTCTTCCGTGTGTTTTTTGGTCCGTCGTTCCGGTGTGTTTGTGGTCTGTTTCGGTGTGTTTTTTGGTCCATTCCAGTGTGTTTTTGGTCCGTTCCGTGTGTTGTGGTCCATTCCGGTGTGTTTGTGATCCGTTTCTGTGTGTTTGTGGTCTGTTTTCGGTGTGTTTTTGGTCCATTCCAGTGTGTTTTTGGTCCGTTCCGGTGTTGTGGTCCAGTGGTTCCGGTGTGTTTTTTGCTCCGTTCCGGTGTGTTTGTGGTCTGTTTCGGTGTGTTTTTGCTCCGTTGTGTTTGGTCCGTTCCGGTGTGTTTGTGGTCTGTTCCGGTGGTGTTTGTGTGTGTTTGTAGTCTGTTCCGGTGTGTTTTGGTCCGTTCGGTGTGGTGTGGTCCGTTCGGTGTGTTGTGGTCCTGTTCCGGTGTGTTTGTGTCCGTTTCTGTGTGTTTGTGATCTGTTCCGGTGTGTTTTTGTGTCTGTTTCGGGTGTGTTTTGTGGTCTGTTTCGGTGTGTTTTTGGTCCGTTCAGTGTGTTTTTTTTGTCCGTTCGGTGTGTTTGTGGTCCGTTCCGGTGTGTTTGTGATCCGTTTGTGTGTGTTTGTGGTCTGTTTCGGTGTGTTTTTGGTCCATTCCAGTGTGTGGTCCGTTCCGGTTTTTGTGGTCCGTTCCGGTGTGTTTGTGATCCGTTTCTGTGTGTTTGTGGTCCTGTTTCGGTGTGTTTTTGGTCCATTCCAGTGTGTTTTTCCGTTCCGGTGTTGTGGTCCGTTCCGGTGTGTTTGTGATCTGTTCCGGTGTGTTTGTGATTGTCCATTCCGGTGTGTTTGTGGTCCGTTTCTGTGTGTTTGTGGTCCGTTCGGTGTGTTTGTGATCCGTTCCGTGTGTTTTTGTGGTCATCTCAGTGTGCTTTTGTGTCCGTTTCGCTGTGTTTGTAGTCCGTTCTCGAGTGTGCTTTTGGTCCGTTTCGCTGTGTTTGTAGTCCGTTCCGATGTGCTTTTGGTCCGTTTCGCTGTGCTTTTAATGAGTTTTACCGCGTTCCAGTGCAGTTCTGTGCAGGAAAAACACAGCCTGTTCAACTTTTTTTTTCTGCATCCGGAACGCACCGGAACTGCAAGCCCTGATGGGAACGATGACACTGACAACCATCTCACCGACTTTCTGTGCATTTTAGATGCAGAAAAAAAGCAACTGAAACGCATGGAGTGTGAACCGGCCCTTAGACTCAGTTCACATCTGTGCTTGTAGTGCCCCTGCAGATCTGCACAAAAATCCGTGCACGTGCACCTGCACCACCCGCACAGAGGAATGCGGCCCCGAGGGTGGGTGACATTAGTTCTAATGGCGCGCCACCAGCACTGGAAAACGCAGCTGTACTGGGAACCTCGGCTGCGTTTTCAGAAGTGCGGGGACATCTTCCCTGCGTGTCACGGGGCACAGGGGTCCATTCAAATGAATGGGCTCATGCCTGTGGAATCACGGCCTGCTCAGCCGCATGTATGTGAACCGGGGGTTAATCTTCGAGAAGTTCCTGGGTGCCCATTTGTGGGTAGTGCAGGTTGCATGTGAGCGGCCTGAACCAGAGCCAGTGAGCTTTATGTATGATGGTCACCATTCCCTTTATTCCCTTTCCCGCTGTTTATCAATACGTATCACAGCCACAACGTCTCTTAGATGGATCCCCACAAACAGCTACAACTCCGACACCAATAAGACCCTCTGGGCTTGTTCACACTGGCTTCAAAATGTGGCATTGGATGAAAGCTCCCATCACTAGATAGAATGGTCACCTCATAGTCCTGTTCACACGTTGTGTTCACTTTCTTCGCTTCAAAAATATCCCCCATGTGGCTTTCTTGGAGCTTTAAAGTGTCTCCAAAGCCTCCATAGAAGTCTGTCACAATCCTCGCTACCTGCAGCATTTGAGGGGCGCTTGTCCTGAGTTAACTTTGTATTGGAGGTATGAGATATCCCAGGATGCACTGGGAATCCAACAAGCAAACAAGAAAGACGTCATCAGCCGTCACTTCCGGTTCAGGTGAATATATTCTGGGAGTGTCTGGAGAGGACGTTGTATTTGGTGTGCAGCGGGACGATGAGCCAGGTCTGGACTAGAGAGGAGCAACTATCAGACGACACACGTGGTGTGCAACATGGGAACAATATAGTGTGAGGTGAGCGGGGGCTGCAGAGAGGGAGAACTGAAGGGCAGAGGATCAGCAGAGCTGGGGGACCGGAGCAGGAGAAACTAGCAGATGTTACATGTGGTGTGCAGCATGGGAGCAATATGTGAGCCTGTGCTGGAGAGAGAGGAGGATCAGTAAACCAGAGGACCAGCAGAGCTGGGGGGTTACTACTGAGTGGGGGATCAGAAGAGCTGAGAGTTTACTACTGATGGGGATCAGCAGAGCTGGGGGATACTACTGATGGGGGATCAGCAGAACTGGGGGTTACTACTGAGCGGGGGATCAGAAGAGCTGAGAGTTACTACTGATGGGGGATCAGCAGAGCTGGGGGATACTACTGATGGGGGATCAGCAGAGCTGGGGGATACTACTGATGGGGGATCAGCAGAGCTGGGGGATACTACTGAGCGGGGGATCAGCAGAGCTGGGGGTTACTACTCAGTGGGGGATCAGCAGAGCTGGGAGTTACTATTGGGTGGGGGATCAGCAAAGATGGGGGTTACTACTGATGGGGGATCAGCAGAGATAGGAGTTACCACTGAGTGGGGGATCAGCAGAGATGGGGGTTTCTACTGAGTGGAGGATCACAGAGATGGGGTTTTACTGAGTGGGGGATCAGCAGAGATGGGGGTTTCTACTGATGAGGAGCAGGTACACCTGTGCAAGACTGGAGGGGAGGAGCAGGTACACCTGTGCAAGACTGGAGGAGCCGGTACACCTGTGCAAGACTGGAGGGGAGGAGCCGGTACACCTGTGCAAGACTGGAGGGGAGGAGCCGGTACACTGTGCAAGACTGAAGGGGAGGAGCCGGACTGGGGAAGACTGAAGGGGAGGAGCCGGTACACCTGTGCAAGACTGGAGGGGGGAGCCGGTACACTGTGCAAGACTGAAGGGGAGGAGCCGGTACACCTGGGGAAGACTGAAGGGGAGGAGCCGGTACACCTGTGAGGGATTTGATGAAATGTCTTCCCATGGATTATGTGGATTATTATCTCCCGGTCGGTAATATGGATGATGATTGGCGTATTGGTCGCCGGCGGTGATGACATTTATCCCGCGCCGCACTGTGGTAATCGGTTGGACACAGCGGACTGACCCTCATCGCTCGCCCAGCGATCTGACCTTCGCGGTCCAGCCAGAGAACAGAAATGCGCAATGAACAGATGTTGCCGAAGTAAATTAAAATCTGAAAAGGTTATAGAGCGCAGGACCGGGGGAGGGGGGGGGACAGCACGCCGCCGCGCATATCAATGTCTTCCCATCTACAGCATATGGTGCAGCGCCGGCGTTCTCCTCCTGCGCCGCCATGTCTGCGAGCTGTCAGAGTCCCGGAGAAACTCCGCTCTCCATCTGACAGGTATCTCATTAAAACCAAAGGCAAATGTGGGGGGGAGTGGGGGGATGGGGGGGCATGAAACAGCGGAGGGGAGAGAATGGAATTCATTAGCGAGGCGATTGTCATTCATCCCGCAGAGGGCAATGCTGGCCCAGGTGAGCGGCTTGTCATCGGCAAAGTTTGCTGCTCCTTCTATTTATCCTGTTTGAGAGGAAACTCCAGAGAGGGGGGAGGGGAGGAATTCCGAGCTATCTACAAATCAATCCCATTTGCATTTTAATACCATTTGGAGGTTGGCGGAGTGCGGCGCGGAGTCTTGTGGGCTCAGATCTGCGCACATCCAGATGACAAGCAATGGGAGAATAATGTTAGTCACAGGTGAGGGGGGGAGGGGGGAGGCCGTGCCGCAGTGTGAACGTAGCGTGATCATTCCTTGGGAAGACCTTCCAGGACTGTGAATGTGACATGGAGTGAGGGCCCCTGATGGGGAAATATCACGGAGCATGGCACATGGCACTACAATCTCTAGAGGTGCGGCCCTGAATGAGAGCGGAGGCGGGGCAAACGCGGGTGAGAAATGAGGCAAATTGTATCAAAAACTTAGCAAACCTTTCCTGGCGCCACAATGTGGAAGTTGCTGCCATGGATTCGCACCAGAGAAATGATGGTAAGCATTTGATACAATTTTCCACACTTTTCCTGGTGCGAGTCCACGGCGGCAACTACCACATGCCAGGAAATGCGGAAACTTCTATCCAACCCTGAACACCAGGGGCGTGGGTCTAGGTCACCATTGTGACCCCTGTAGTTACCCGATCACGTGATCACTGATTTAGCCAATCACAGGTCAGTGTTATCGGTGAGGTCGGTGTGTTATCGGTCGGTGTTATCGTGAGGTCGGTGTTATCGGTGAGGTCGGTGTTATCGGTGGGGTCGGTGTTATCGGTGTTATTCGGTGAGGTCGGTGAGGTCGGTGTTATCGGTGAGGTCAGTGTTATCGGTGAGGTCGGTGGTATCGGTGAGGTCGGTGTTATCGGTGAGGTCAGTGTTATCGGTGTTTTATCGGTGAGGTCGGTGTTATCGGTGGGGTCGGTGTTATCGGTGAGGTCGGTGTTATCGGTGTGAGGTCGGTGTTATCGGTGGGGTCGGTGTTATCGGTGTTATTGGTGAGGTCGGTGTTATCGGTGAGGTCGGTGTTATCGGTGGGGTCGGTGTTATCGGTGAGGTTGGTGTTATCGGTGAGGTCGGTGTTATCGGTGTTATTGGTGAGGTCGGGTCGGTGTTATCGGTGAGGTCGGTGTTATCGGTGGGGTCGGTGGGGTCGGTGTTATCGGTGTTATCGGTGAGGTCGGTGTTATCGGTGAGGTCGGTGTTATCGGTGAGGTTGGTGTTATCGGTGAGGTCGGTGTTATCGGTGAGGTCGGTGTTATCGGTGTTATCGGTGGGGTCGGTGTTATCGGTGAGGTCGGTGTTATCGGTGAGGTCGGTGTTATCGGTGAGGTCGGTGTTATCGGTGAGGTCGGTGTTATCGGTGTTATTGGTGAGGTCGGTGAGGTCGGTGTTATCGGTGTTGTTATTGGTGAGGTCGGTGTTATCGGTGAGGTGTTATCGGTGAGGTCGGTGTTATCGGTGTTATATCGGTGAGGTCGGTGTTATCGGTGAGGTCGGTGTTATCGGTGAGGTCGGTGTTATCGGTGTTATCGGTGAGGTCGGTGTTATCGGTGAGGTCGGTGTTATCGGTGTTATCGGTGAGGTCGGTGTTATCGGTGAGGTCGGTGTTATCGGTGTTATCGGTGAGGTCGGTGTTATCGTGTTATCGGTGGGGTCGGTGTTATCGGTGTTATCGGTGTCGGTGTTATCGGTGGGGTCGGTGCTATCGGTGAGGTCGGTGTTATCGGTGAGGTCGGTGTTATCGGTGTTATCGGTGGGTCGGTGTTATCGGTGGGTCGGTGTTATCGGTGGGTCGGTATCGGTGTTATCGGTGAGGTCGGTGATCGGTGAGGTCGGTGTTATCGGTGAGGTCAGTGTTATCGGTGAGGTCGGTGTTATCAGTGGGGTCGGTGTTATTGGTGAGGTCAGTGTTATCGGTGGGGTCGGTGTTATCGTGAGGTCGGTGTTATCGGTGGGGTCGGTGTTATCGGTGAGGTCGGTGTTATCGGTGTTATCAGTGAGGTCGGTGTTATCGGTGTTATCGGTGAGGTCGGTGTTATCGGTGTTTCAGTGAGGTGTGTTATCGGTGGGGTCGGTGTTATCGGTGAGGTCGGTGTTATCGGTGTTATCGGTGAGGTCGGTGTTATCAGTGAGGTCGGTGTTATCGGTGAGGTCGGTGTTATCAGTGAGGTCGGTGTTATCGGTGAGGTCGGTGTTATCGGTGAGGTCGGTGAGGTCGGTGTTATCGGTGAGGTCGGTGTTATCGGGTTATCGGTGAGGTCGGTGTTATCGGTGGGGTCGGTGTTATCGGTCGGTGTTATCGGTGAGGTCGGTGTTATCGGTGAGGTCGGTGTTATCGGTGGGGTCGGTGTTATCGGTGAGGTCGGTGTTATCGGTGAGGTCGGTGTTATCGGTGGGGTCGGTGTTATCGGTGAGGTCGGTGTTATCGGTGGGGTCGGTGTTATCGGTGGGGTCGGTGTTATCGGTGTTATCGGTGGGGTCGGTCAGTGTTATCGGTGAGGTCGGTGTTATCGGTGAGGTCGGTGTTATCGGTGGGTCAGTGGGGTCGGTGTTATCGGTGGGGTCGGTGGGGTCGGTGAGGTCGGTGAGGTCGGTGTTATCGGTGGGGTCGGTGGGGTCGGTGTTATCGGTGGGGTCGGTGGGTCGGTGAGGTCGGTGTTATCGGTGGGGTCGGTGTTATCGGTGAGGTCGGTGTTATCGGAGGGTCGGTGGGGTCGGTGGAAAACCTCGTCGGTGTTATCGGTGAGGTCGGTTGTTATCGGTGGGGTCGGTGGGGTCGGCAAATCGGTGAGGTCGGTGAAACGGTGGGGTCCTGGGGTCAGTGTTATCTGGAAGTCAGTGTTATCGGTGAGGAGGAGGGAATGGAAACCTCGACACCTACAGAATCGGCTGGAAGTGGCAAACCTTTGGAGAAGGACTGGAAACCTCGCACCTACAGAATCAGCTGGAAGCGGCAAATCTTCGAAGCAGGACTGGAAACCTCGGCATCTGCAGAATCATCCGAAAGTGGCAAATCTTTGGAGAAGGGAACTGGAAACCTCGACACCTACAGAATCAGCTGGAAGCGGAACATCTTTGAGAGGGACTGGAAACTTGACACCTACAGAATCAGTTGGAATCAGCAAACCTTCGGAGAGGGACTGGAAACCTCAGCACCTACAGAATCAGCTGGAAGCGGCAAATCTTCGAAGGACTGGAAACCTCGGCACCTACAGAATCAGCCAGAAGAGGCAAATATTTGGAGGAGGACTGGAAACCTCGGCATCTACAGAATCAGCCGGAAGCAGCAAATCTTAAGAGAGGGAATGGAAGCCTTGGCACCTACAGAATCAGCTGGAAGCGGCAAACCTTTGGAGAAGGACTGGAAACCTCGGCACCTACAGAATCAACCAGAAGCGGCAAATCTTCAAAGAGAGGACTGGAAACCTCGACACCTACAGAATCAGCCGGAAGCGACAAACCTTTGGAGAAGGACTGGAAACGTCGGCACCTACAGAATCAGCCTGAAGCGGCAAATCATAACAGAGGGACTAGAAACGTCGGCACCTACAGAATCAGCTGGAAGCGGCAAATCTTAAGAGAGGGACTAGAAAACTTCAGCACCTACAGAATCAGCCGGAAGCGGCAAACCTTCTGAGAGGGACTGGAACCTCGGCACCTACAGAATCAGCCGGAAGCGGTAAATGTTCACAGAAGGACTGGAAACCTCAGCACCTACAGAATCAGCTGGAGGCGGCAAACCTTCGGAGAGGGAACTTGAAACCTCGGCACCTACAGAATCAGCTGGAGGCGGCAAACCTTTGGAGAGGAACTGGAAACCTCGCACCTACAGTATCAGCCGGAAGCTGGAAACCTTTGGAGAGGGACTGGAAACCTCGGCACCTACAGGATCAGCTGGAAGCGGCAAACCTTCGGAGAGGGACTGGAAACCTCGGCACCTACAGAATCAACCAGAAGCGGCAAATCTTCAAAGGAGGACTGGAAACGTCGGCACCTACAGAATCAGCCAGAAGCGGCAAATCATAACAGAGGACTAGAAAAACGTCGGCACCTACAGAATCAGCTGGAAGTGGTAAATCTTCAAAGAAGGACTGGAAACCTCGGCACCTACAGAATCAGCCAGAAACTGCAAACCTTTGGAGAATGGGACGGGAAACCTCGGCACCAACAGAATTAGCCGGAAGTGGCAAATCTTCAGAATGGGACTGGAAACCTCGGCACCTACAGAATCATCCGGAAGCAGCAAACATTTGAAGAAGGACTGGAAGCCTTGGCACCTACAGAATCAGCTGGAAGCGGTAAATCTTCGGAGAGGGACTGGAAACCTCGGCACCTACAGAATCAGCCGGAAGCTGCAAACCTTCGGAGAGGGACTGGAAACCTCGGCACCTACAGAATCAGCTGGAGGTGGGAAACCTTCAAAGAAGGACTGGAAACC